AAGGGAAGAACGCCTCAGGTGAGCATGCGTACAACTCCAGTAATCACACGTGCATGTGGCCCCTCCCAAGTGCTAACAGGCCACTGTACATGTGGACAGCCCAACCCAAGGGAATAATCAGGGAGAAGGGATTCAAGACCCTGGAAGTATGCCAATGTATAAAACCTCAAGTCAATGGTCAAACACAGTACAGTTGATCTCTCAGGTTGCCTACTTGGCCCTCTTCCAAGTGTACTTTCTTTCCTTTCATTCTTGCTCTAAATCTTTTCAGTAACTTTCACTGCTGCTCTAAAACTTGCCTTGGTCTCTCCTTTATCCTTCTGCCCCTCCGTCAAATTCTTTCTTCTGAGGAGGCAAGAATTGAGGCTGCTGCAACTGCTGGTAACATACTTTGGTGCCCCATGGCTCGGATACATTCCACTGCTAACAAACTTATCACATTTTCTTTATACAGTCTGTCATTGATGAGCATTTAGGTTGATTCCATGTCTTTGAAATTGTGAATAGTGCTGCAATGAACATACAAATGCATGTGTCTTTATAATAGAACAACTTATATTTTCAGGCATACATACCCAGTAATGGGATTGCTGGGTCAAACGGTATTTCTGACTTTAGGTCTCTGAGGAATCACCACATTGTCTTTTACAATCATTGAATTAATTTACACTCTTACCAACATTGCATAAGCATTCCTCTTTCTCCACAACCTCTCCAGCACCTATCATTTTTTGACCTTTTTATAACAGCCATTCTAACTGATGTGAGATGGTATCTCACTGTTTTCGATTTGCAGTTCTCTAATGATCAGTGATGTTGAGCTTTTTTGCGTATAATCATTGGCTGCAATATGTCTTCTTTTGAAAAGTGTCTGTTCATGTTCTTTGCCCAATTTTTAATGGGGTTGATTTTTTTCTTGTAAACTTGGTTCAGTTCCTGATAGATGCTGGATATAAGACCTTTGTTAGATTCACAGTTAGCAAAAATTCTCTCCCATTCTGTAGGTTGTCTGTTTACTCTGTTAGTTTCTTTTGCTGTGTCAAACCTCTTTAGTTTAATTACATCTCGTTCGTCAATTTTTGCTCTTGTTGCAATTGCTTTTGGCATCTTTGTCATGAAACCTTTGACTGTGCCTATGTCCTAAATGGTATTATCTATGCTGTCTTCCAGGGTTTTTATAGTTTTGGGTTTTACATTTAAGTCTTTACTCCATCTTGAGTTAATTTTTATATATGGTGTAAGGAAGGTGTCCGGTTTCAATATTCTTCATATGGCTAGTCAGTTCCCCCAGCACCATTTATTAAATAGGAAATCCTTCCCCCATTGCTTTTTTTTATCAGGTCTGTTGAAGATCAAATAGTTGTAGGTGTGTGGTCTTATTTTTGGGTTCTCTATTCTGTTCCACTGATACACATATCTGTTTTTGTACCAGTACCATGAGGTTTTGGTTACTGTAGCCCCATCATATAGTTTGAAGACAGGTAGCGTGATGCTTTCAGCTTTATTATTTTTGCTTAGGATTGCCTTCATTATTCTGGCTCTTTTTTGTTTCCATATGGATTTTTAAATAGTTTTTCTAGTTCTGTGAAGAATCTCAGTGGTAGTTTAACAGGAATAATATTGAATCTTTACATTGTTGAGGGCAGTATAGCCATTTTAACGATACTGATTCTTATTATCCATGAGCATGGAATGCTTTTCCATTTGTTTGTGTCATCTCTGATTTCTTTAAGCAGTGGTTCATAGTTATCCTTGTGGAGATCCTTCATCTCCCTGGTTAGCTGTATTCCTGTATTTTATTCTTTTTGTGGCAATTGTGAATGGAAGTTCATTTCTGATTTGGCTCTCAGCTTGACTGTTGTTGATGTACAGGAATGCTAGTAATTTTTGCATATTAATTTTGTATCCTACAAATTTGCTGAAGTATAAGGATATTTTGGAATGAGACTATCAAGTTTTCTAAATATAGTATCATGTCATCTGCAAACAGGGGTAGTTTGACTTCCTCTCTTCCTATTTGGATGCCTTTATTTCTTTCTGTTGCCTGATTGCCCTGAACATGACTTCCAATACTCTGATGTATAGGAGTGGTAAGAGAGAGAATTCTTGTATTGTGGCAGTTTTCAAGCGGAATGCTTCCAGCTTTTGTCCATTCAATACGATGTTGTCTGTGAGTTTATCATACATAGCTCTTATTATTTTTAGATATGTTCCTTCAATTTCTAATTTATTGAGAGTTTTTAACACAAATGGATATTGAATTTTATTGAAATCCTTTTGTTCATCTATGGAGATAATCATATAGGTTTTGTCTTTAGTTCTGATTATGTGGTGGATCACATTTATTGATTTGTGTATGTTGAACTAGGCTTGCATCACAGGGATAAAGCCTATTTGATTGTCATGAATAAGCTTTTTGATTTGTTGCTGTATTTGATTTGCTAGTATTTTGGTGAGAATTTTTGCATTGATATTCATCAAGGATATTGGCCTGAAGTTTTCTTTTTTTTGTCCCATCTCTGCCAGTTTTTGGTATCAGGATATTGCTGGCCTCGTAAAATGAGTTAGGGAGGAATCCCTTCTCCTCAATTTTTTGGAATAGTTTCAGTAGGGTTGGTACCTGCTCTCTTTGTACTTCTGATAAAATTTAGCTGTGAATTCATCTGGTCCTGGGCCTTTATTTGGTTGATAGGCTATTTATTCTGCCTCAATTTCAGAGCTCATTATTGGTCCGTTCAGGGATTCATTTTCTTTCTGGTTTAGTCTTGGGAGGGTGTATGTGTCCAGGAATTTAACCATTCCTATAGATTTTCCTATGTATGTGCATAGAAGTGTTCATAATCTTCTCTGATGATTGTTTATATTTTTGTGGGGTCAGTGTTAATATCCCCCTTGTTTCTGTGTTTATTTGAATCTTCTGTCTTTCCTTCTGTATTAGTCTGGCCAGCAGTCTATCCATTTTATTAATTTTTTCAAAAACAACAAGCTCTTGGATTTACCGATCTTTTGAATGGGTTTTTTTTGTGTTTCAATCTCCTTCAGTTCACCTCTGATTTTTGTTATTTTCTGTCTTCTGCTAGGTTTGGGATTTGTTTGCTCTTGCTTCTCTAGTTTTATTAGTTGTAATATTAGGTTATTTACTTGACATCTTTCTGACTTTTTGATGTGGGCATTTATGCTATAAACTTTCCTCTTAACATTGCCTTAACTGTGTCTCAAAGATTCTGGTATGTTGTAATTTTGTTCTTATTAGTTTAAAAAAACTTGATTTATGCCTTAATTTTATTATTGACCTAAATAATAGGTATTTAGGAGCAGATTATTCAATTTCCATTCAATTATATAGTTTTGGGTGAATTTCTTAGTCTTAATCAGTAATTTGATTGTACTATGGTCTGAAAGACTGTTATGATTTCAGTTCTTTTGCATTTGCTGAGGAGTGTTTTACTCCCAATTACATGATTGATGTTAGAATATGTGCCATGTAGCAACGAGAAGGTATATTTTGTTGTTTTTGGGTGGAGAGCTATTTTAATATTTATCAGGTCCTTTTGATCCAGGGTTGAGTTCAGGTCCTGAATATCTTTATCAATTTTCTGCCTCAAAGATATGTCTAATATTGTCAGTGAGGTGTTAAAGTCTCCTACCATTATTGTGTGGGAGTCTAAGTCTCTTTGAAGATCTCTAAGAACTTGCTTTATGAATCTGAATGTTCCTGTGTTGGGTGCATATATATTTAGGATAGTTAGATCTTCTTGTTGAATTGAACCTTTAACCATTATGTAATGGCCTTCTTTGTCTTTTTTGACATTTGTTGGTTTAAATCTGTTTTGTCAGAAACTAGGATCGCAACCCTGTTTTCTGTTTTCCATTCTCCTGGTAGATTTTTCTCTGTCCCTTTATCTTGAGCCTATATGTGTCATTGCATGTGAGATGGGTCTTTTGAAGACAGCATACCAAAGGATTTTAGGACTTTATCCCACTTGCCAGTCTGTGTCTTTTAACTGGGGCATTTAGCACATTTATATTTAAGGTTAGTATTGTTGTGTGAAGATTTGATCCTGTCATCACAATGCTAACTGGCTATTTTGCAGACTTACGTATTTACTTTATAATGTCACTGGTCTGTGCATTTCAATGTGTTTTGTAATGACTAGTAATGGTGTCGTGTTTCCTTTTTGTATTTAGTGCTTCCTTCAGGAGCCCTTGTAAGGCAGGTCTGTGGTAACAAATTTCTCAACACTTGTTTGTCTAAAAAGCATCCAATTTCTCCTCAGCTTATGAACTTCTGGGTTGGAATTTCTTTTCTTAAAAATGTTAAATATTGACTCCCAGTCTCTTCTGGCTTGTAGGGTGTCAGCTGAGAGGTCCACTCTTAGCCTGATGAGCTTCCCTTTTTGTGTGACCTGGTCTTTCTCTCTAGCTGCTTTTAACATTTTTTTTCTTTCATTTTGACCTGGGGGAATCTGATAATTATATGTCTTCGGGATGATCTTCTCGTGAAGCATCTTACAGGGATTCTCTGCATTTCCTGAATTGAATGTTGGCCTCTGCAGCTAGGTTGGGGAAATTCTCTTGGATGACATCCTGAAATATGTTTTCTGAGTTGGTTACATTCTCCCTATCTCTTTCAAGTGCAGCAGTCAGTTGTAGATTCAGTCTGTTTGCATAATCCCATGCTTCTAAGAGGTTTTGCTCATTCATTCTCATTTGTTTTTCTCTATTCTTATCTGCCTATCTTATGTCAGAAAGTCATTCTTCAAGCTCAGACATTCTTTCCTCTGCTTGGGCTATTCTGCTATTAATATTTGTAATTGCATTATGAAATTCTTGTGTGTTTCAGCTCTGTCAGTTCAGTTACTTTCTTCTCGTTACTATTTTGTCTGTCAGCTTGTTCAATTCTTATCTTGATTTTTAGCTTCCTTGCATTGGGTTAGAATGTATTTCTGTAGTTCAATTAACTTTGTACCTATCCATTCTGAATTCTACTTCAGAGCCAGAAAAATATGGAATACTTCACAAATACTTCAGCATTGCATAGGTGCCATGATAATCTTTTCTGTGTCATTCCAATTTTAGTATATGTCCTACCAAAGTAAGCACTGTCCTTCAATTTTTAGGAGTTCTTTAAATAGTAAGGATATCAACCCTGTGTCTGTGGTATAGCCTATGAATATTATCTCCTCATTGTCAACAGTATTTTGCCTTGTTTATGATTCACTTTGCAACGTGTTTGTTCAGGGAATCAGATTTATAGCTCTTTCTTTCATTTCCTTTGGATTTGACCCAGAGTTCTATACCATTGTTAAAGAGTAATTTGCCTAAGTTTCTTCTAGTATTTGTAAGGTTTTCTTTTTACTTTTAGATACCTAAGTTATTTGGAGTTTACTCTTTTATATGGTATGAGGTATGGGCCAAATTTTATTTATATGGCTACGGTTTTTCAGCATCATTTATTTAAAAATCCATCTTGTCCCAGTGGTTTAAGATGCCATTTTATCATATACTAAATTTCTCTATGTGCTGGGGCTAATTTCTGTACTTTCTCTTGCCATGTTGGCCTATACATCACTACTTTAATTTTACGGGTAGTGTATCACATGTTTTAGTATTAGAGCAGAGCTACTTTCCTATCATAAATACATTTTCCAAAATTTCCTGGCTATTCTTCCATGTTTATTTTTTCATATGAACTTTAGTGTCACAATTTGATTCACTCCCTACAATAGTTGGTTGGCATTTGTATTCTTATCTCATTCACTTTATATATTAATATATGGATAACTGTTACCTTTTAAATATTGTGCTGTTGTTTTGTTTAATTCTATTTCTGTACCCTTTAGTGTTGTCCTAACATTTTTCTGTATAAGATTTGCACATTTCTTGTTAATTTTTTCTAAATGTTTAATATTTATTATTGCTATTATAACTAAAATTTTCCTACCAATATGTCATCTGTTTATTATTTCTGAGTAAAAAACAATTGATTTTTGAGAAGTAATTTTATATTCTGCTACTTAACTAAATTATTTTATGATTTGACTTAGACTTAACATTGATTGTTGCTATCATTGTTTTATGGTGCCACTCCTATCATCTCAAAATAGAGACTAGCTGACTTTTTCTTTACCCCTTTTTGGACCACTAATTAATTTATCCTGCCTATTTGCATTGGATAATAGTACGAATACAATAATAGTTGGCATAGTGGGCATCTTTTTCTTGTCCCTGATCTAAGTTATAATACCTGTAGTGTTTATTAAAGAGAACACTGGAGGTACTAAGTAAGATAAAGTAATTAGTTTCATTCCATCTTTCCCATTGAAAGAAACTATAAAGCCTGGACAGAATGAAAAAAGAAGTTATTTGGTGATAATTATATGCAAACAAACAAGCAAACACATAAGCAAACCTAAATCTAAACCCTATACCTTATATACAAATTAACTCAAAATGTAACACAAATCTAAATGTAAACACAGAAAAATTATCTGTGACCTAGGATTAATCAAAGTGTTATTCATGAAACCAAAGGCATGATCCATAAGCACCTCCTCCCCTCAGTCATTATTGCAAAATATAGGGGGTTTTATTTGTTTTGTTGTTTGGGGAAGGATTATGAGTCCTCTCTTGTCCCATAGAATCCAAATAAGGTCTTCTTTTTCTTCTTTTCTCCTTCATCATCCTTGCCAAAAGGTGTTTCTGCCTTCTTGTTTGTCTCTTTTTCTTCCCCAGAAGCTATGTCTTTTTAAATTTCCGTTTAAATGTATTCTATCCCTTTATATGGCATGATCCATTGTAAGTTATAATTGCCCCTTTAAATACTGCCTCCCCTTTAAATCATATATGTATATTTTAAACTCCTTTCCTTGTAGTTAATGTCACAATCTGTTTGGATGACATTTATGCAGTATTTTAGATTTAGAATGGATTGAATATTTTTAGTGTCCATTGCAAATCATCTTTAGGCTCCTTTGGCTAATCTCTCTGTTATAGCTTTCCCACAGTTTTTCTCATTCCATCTTTGCTTGCCACAAAGCCTTGTGTCTGTGCAAGAGCATTGTGGCAGCCTGAGAGATCTGCACTGGGATTTGGTGGGATATTTTTCTCTTTTTACTTACAGGTATTTCCAATTTCAGCACTGCATTCAAATTATGCTTTAGGCATACATTTGCAAAATTTAACTTTCACTTTTGATTTTTTAAGAATAAAAAGAGAACTTTCCTATTTTTTTGATTTGGAAAGGAAATTTTTGGATATTATATGGCAACCATGGTCCTTAGTTATCCAGAAGGATTGCTGAATTCAATTTCCTCATATTGGGTTAAGTATTTGCATTTATATTCCTAGCAGATATTATCCTCTAATTTTAATTTCTAATAATGTGTTCATTAGATTATGATGTCAAATTTTTCCTGATTTTATAAAATGTCTCCATTACAAAGTTAGAGTAAGATAGGCACATCATCATTTTGAAAACTTTGCTATTACAGAAAGTAAGAAAATGTTGCTAAAATAATAATAATAAGAAAACACATGGGGGCATATTACGAGGTCATAGCAGGCAGTTGTAAGTGACACTTAACAGGCAAATCCCGGAAAACTTAAACATCAAAGTAGGAATCCAAGAGTATGTAACAATCATAAATAAGTAAGCAGGTAAATGAATGGGGGAAGAGTGCTTCTTAAAGTACAATATCCATTGCCAGTTGGTAAATGTTAAGTAATTGCAGAAGATGGAAAAATACAATTTTATAACAATTATAGTGAAGACTGGTTAGGCAAAGAAGTGATGAATGGTTGCTATAGCTAGGAAGATTTTCTTTAATGAGCTATAGGATATTTGCATGGTGTCCAAGTGCCTTCCTACAGATTCCTTATTAGTTGCAATGAAAAATAGTAATACTAAGAAAAGTAACACAACAACTTGACTGAGTGTAAAAACTAACATCAGCAGTGTGAGGCAGATTGACATCCTATGCCTTTCAGTGTGATACCCTTTGAAGGACACAGCATTATTTAGGTAATTTTTAAAACCTGGAATGAAACACCTGGATCTAATCCTGAGAAACATCAGACAAACTCAAAGTGAGGGTAGATCCATTTACAAAACGAAAAGCAGATCATGCCAGGCCCGAAGCAGCATATTTGTAATATGTTTCTAAAACATCTTGTCATGAAAAGAGCAAGGAAGCTACATAAGACCACTTGGCTCTTTTCAAAAGTTTTCAGGAGTCAACATATCTCATTCCAACACAGACGGAACAATTTCATCATCATTAAGGAAAATAATTGTAACAGGTTGAAACAGACCAAATATGATTAAATATATATGTGCTCTTAACAATTTGAAAGTAATTACCCATCACTGGTGAATACTAATAAAGCAATACGTTATTTTAAAAACAGGCAATTTTAAAGAAAAAAAACCAAGAATTATTTTATTTTCCTATAAAGACTACCATTGTAAAACCCAAAAGTTAATGGAAAATATGTATTCACACAGGTATACTCTACTAATAAATCAAGAAAGAATGTAAGCATTTGCATGTTTTATAAGTTTGGCAAAATTAATGGATACAGGAATTCGGCATGAAAGGCTGCTAATAAAAAACGTGAGACGATCAGGTATTTGTGTGCTTGCGTGTGGAAGAAAACACACCCATCACCTATAAAGTAGTTTTGCCAAACATTTTAATCTGCTTATCATGCATATAAATCTGGCAGATAAATGTTTAAAAATGCACCCCTGGGACTCACCACCAAATCCAGATAGTGGGAAACTCTGTGGGACACATAACTTATTCTTTTTTTCAACAAATAAACTGAAAGAAGGGAGAAAACAGGATGAGAACAGACCTTATAGATCTAAAGAGACTTAAGAGCCACATCAAACAGTAGCAATGTGTGGATCATAGTTGGGTTCTTTTAAAATAAACAATGTGTACAGAATAATTCTTTAAGTTTGATTTTATGATATTTAAAAGAAAATTGAGCCAGACATGATGAAGTGTGCCTTGTCCCAGCTGCTGGGGAGGCTGAGGATGGAGGTTCTCTTGAGCCCAGGAGTTCTAGAGCACACTGGGCAACTTAATGAGACTCCATCTTTTGTAAAAAAAGAATACTATTTATGATAATTGTATGAACGTTGAGGATATTAAGCTAAGTGAGAGAAGCCAGTCACAGAAGTACAAATACTGCCTGATTTTTATATGAGGTATATAAAATAGTCAAACTCGTAGAAACAAAGAGTACAATTATGGTTGCCTGGGGTTGGTCAGAGTGGAAATGAGGGGTTTCTGTTCAACTAGTATAATGTTTAAGTTATGTAAAATGATTAGGTTTTAGAGATTTGCTATACAACATTGTAGTTGACAATAATGTGTTCTACACATAGCACATTTGTAAAGAAGGTTAAAAAAAAAGTTACCTGTAGAAACTTCAGTTGTGTTTGTTTGTGTGTGTATGTGTGTGCATATACACTTAACAGAAATATATAAATATGTTTATATCAACATTATTTATAATTTCCAAAAACTGTACGCAGCTGACGTGTTCATTTACAGTAGACTGAGTTGGGACTAGAGTGAAGTAAGTGAAGCACTTGTTTCAGGAGAAAAAATTAAGTGGCTATAAAAAGACTAATAATCAAGATACATAAATTTAATACAACATTTTAAAAATCAATATTAATGCAAAAAAAAGCAGGATCCATATTATTGTTTCCTTTAGCCTCAGATTCCAATGTGGCTCCACATGGAACTGATAATAGAATTTACAAATAATGATACAAAATGGAATGCTACACAGCAATGAGAATAAATGAACAATGAATTATAACTACACACAATAATATGGAGACTCCCATAGACAAAATGTTCAGTAAAACAAACCAAATGCAAAAGTGTATGCACTGTTGGTTTCATTTACATCAAATTCAAAAACAGACAAACTAATCTAGGCAGAAGTCAGAATAATGGTTTCCCTTGAAAGGGGGCAAGAGAAAATTTCTGTGACTCTAGGAATATTCAGTTTCTTGATCTGTATCTTACATAAGTTTTGTACTTTAGGATAATTCACCAAACTGTTCATTTATTATTTTT